TGAATTGCATCCTAGAATACCTAAGTTTCTAATAGAGGAGGGATCTGAGCCCCTAGCTATTATCTTTGGAAAATCATGGGAGATGGGAGACACTGGAAAAGGGCAAATATAGTGCCCATCTATAAAAAGGGAAATAAAAACAACCCAGGAAACTACAGACCAGTTAGTTTAACTTCTGTGCCAGGGAAGATAATGGAGCAAGTAATTAAGGAAATCATCTGCAAACACTTGGAAGGTGGTAAGGTGATAGGGAATAGCCAACATGGATTTGTAAAGAACAAATCGTGTCAAACCAATCTGATAGCTTTCTTTGATAGGAATAACGAGTCTTGTGGATAAGGGAGAAGCTGTGGATGTGGTATACCTAGACTTTAGTAAGGCATTTGATACGATCTCGCATGATATTCTTATCAATAAACTAGGCAAATACAATTTAGATGGGGCTACTATAAGGTGGGTGCATAACTGGCTGGATAACCGTACTCAGAGAGTTGTTATTAATGGTTCCCAATCCTGCTGGAAAGGCATAACAAGTGGGGTTCCGCAGGGATCTGTTTTGGGACTAGCTCTGTTCAATATCTTCATTAACCACTTAGATATTGGCATAGAAAGTACGGTTATTAAGTTTGCAGATGATACCAAACTGGGAGGGATTGCAACTGCTTTGGAGGACAGGGTCATAATTCACAATGATCTGGACAAATTGGAGAAATGGTCTGAGGTAAACAGGATGAAGTTTAACAAAGTCAAATGCAAAGTGCTCCACTTAGGAAGGAAAAATCAGTTTCACACATACAGAACGGGAAGAGACTGTATAGGAAGGAGTACGTCAGAAAGGGATCTAGGGGTTATAGTGGGCCACAAGCTAAATATGAGTCAACAGTGTGATGCTGTTGCAAAAAAAGCAAATGTGATTCTGGGATGTATTAACAGGTGTGTTGTGAGCAAGACACAAAAAGTCATTCTTCCGCTCTACTCTGCGCTGGTTAGGCCTCAGCTGGAGTATTGTGTCCAGTTCTGGGCACCACATTTCAAGAAAGATGTGGAGAAATTGGAGAGGGTCCAGAGAAGAGCAACAAGAATGATTAAAGGTCTTGAGAACATGACCTATGAAGGAAGGCTGAAAGAATTGGGTTTGTTTAGTTTGAAAAAGAGAAGACTGAGAGGGGACATGGTAGCAGTTTTCAGGTATTTAAAAGGTCATAAGGAGGAGGGAAAAAACTTGTTCACCTTAGTCTCAGTATATATGTAAGGATAGAACAAGAAGCAATGGGCTTAAACTGCAGCAAGGGAGGTTTAGGTTGGACATTAGGAAAAAGTTCCTGACTGCCAGGGTGGTTAAACACTGGAATAAATTGCCTAGGGAGGTAGTGGAATCTCCATCTCTGGAGATATTTAAGAGTAGGTTAGATAAATATCTATCAGGGATGGTTCTAGACAGTATTTGGTCCTGTCATGAGGGCAGGGGACTGGACTCGATGACCTCTCGAGGTCCCTTCCAGTCCTAGAATCTATGAATCATACAGAACATGGAGTGGAAATGGATCAAAACTAAATGACGAAAATGAAAAGATAACCTTCAAAATAAATGTGTAGATTTAAAGTGTTAAATATGCACAGGCAAAAGGCTAGCTCAGGCCAGTGCTTGCATATATGGCTTTGCTCATTCCAGTGTCAGTAAGACTGCTCACATGGATAAAATTGGGTCACTTCATCTGCATAAATGTTTGCAGGATTAAATCCTTAAAGTGTGAACGCCTGCAGCTGCACCACCAAGTGCTGTGATCCATCAGCTAAGCAGGGCCAGTACTTAGATGGCAGACCTCAAAGAAACACCATCCACCATGGGGCAACTGTCATTGGTCTTACTGTTAGCAACATTGGGAGTCCCACTGTAGGCACTTGTAACACCATGTTATTTAGATCTGTTCTGGTTAGGGAGACATGATCCACAGTTAAATGTCTGCAGCAGTCTACCCAACTCAGCTAACCCCAGTGAAGCTGAACCAACATTCAGCACTAGTGGGGAACTTTTCTAGAAAGAAACTGTACACAAGACCTCTGAGTGCGACAAGCAAATTGAAATAGATGGGATGCAGAAAAGATCTGCTAAAGAAAGAGGACTACCCAGCAGAAAAACAAAGGAAGTTGTATCTGACTTTTTGTTCTGAAAATAATATAATTTCACTCAATCACTGTTTTAAAAAGCACAGTATATATGTAATATAATGCCACAGTCACACTAATATCTCCCAACCTAGAAAAGTTATGGCTCTGGATATATTACAAAAAGAAGGGCTAGGTAGGTACTTGAGAGTCAGCGAGAAAAGAGCTAATGGGCCACCAATATTAAGGACCATGATTGGGAAAAAGTGCTTGTTGGGTTACTGGGTGAGGTCACCACGGAAGAGGTGAGTCTGGAGATAGTTCTATTTTACAGAGAGATAAGAAGGAAAGTGAGAGAAGAGGAGCACCATAGGCGGGAGGTGGAGCCCACCTTAGGGGAGGCTAGCCCCGGCTCTGCCTATTCCACCTGCACCTCCCCTTCCACAGCAGAACTCCCAAGCCCCCTTCCCTTCCCCACGGCCAGGACCACAAGTCCCCTTCTGCCTGGAGGAGTTCCAAGCACCCCCCTCTT